TTTGAGGTTGCTGTGAGCTAGGATGACGACACGGCACTCTAGCCCGGGCAACACAGTGACACTCTGTCTCAAAAAAATAAAAAGAAAAAAAAAGAAAATACCTTTCATTGAACTCAGTGAATCTTAGCAAAGAAACACGCTAAGAAGTCAATTCTGAACATCATCAACCAAGGCCACAACTAACCATAGCTCTAGATAAAAATAATCCTTTTGACAAGACACTGTGATGTTGTGAGAGTGTTAAGCTAGGGAGACATGAAGCCTTGAATTCAAATATGAATTTCACTTTGAGCCTTCATTTTGCCTTCTCTAAAATGGACATGTTAACTGCCTCCCTCCCTAACAGTAAATGGGATAACAGTTAAATACGATTAAATAGGATACAGGACTTAACACAGGGCCTCTCTCATAGACTGTACTCAATAAATATTAAATGTCTTAAACTCATCCCTTTCCTTCTGACTCCAGGGAAAGTGAAATGTCAACCTCCCTAAGCAGAGGTTAAATTTCTACTAAGAAAAATGTTTTCTCTCTCTCTGGCAGTTTTTGGTTGGATTTTGGTGGATGGCAGTCGATGGTTGTAGCAGCCAGTTTTCAATGCATAACAATACACCCCAAACTTTCAAACAACAATCAATTATTTTGTTCACAATTCTGCAGGTCAACAACTCCAGCTAGGCTAATCTGAGTGTTTTTTTGTTGTTTTTAGCTAGGCTTATTTATGCATCTGTGGCTAGTGCCCAGTCAGCTAAGTGGTTCTGCTGAGGGCCAAATGTCTAGGATGGTCTCAGCCATATGTTGGAGTTCTCTGCTAGGTGGAGTCAAGGGGATGAATGGGCCATGGGTCTCTCATCATCTGGCTAGCTGGGACTTCGTGTTGCTGTCACAGTGTTTCAAGAGCAAAAAGAGAGGGGAAACTCCAGTGTGCAAGCAGTTATCAATTCTCTGCTGGCTTCACATTTGCTATTGTCCCCCTGGACAAAGCAACGTACATGGCCAAGCCCAGCAACAATATGGGACGAGATACAAGCTGGCATGAACAAATTGCAGTCGTTACTCTAACAGTCTACTACTACGCCGATTCATGAATGACACTGTGCATCATTGGAGAAAGACTGATATTTGGATAAACCTCACAGTGGGATGTTATTCTCTTAGAAATGCTTTTTCACCCTTCTTTAAAAATGTCATAGCTACTTTTGCCCTATTACCCTAAAAGGTGAATAATAAAATCATCCTACAAGGTTCTGAAAAAAAACCTAATTTGAAAATTTTGGGGGTATTATATTAAACCCGTAAGTTGCGGATCTCCTTATTCAAAAACAGGCTGTGACTATGCCCGTAAGTGTCCAGCTCATACCTCTTTCCATATGATTAATATAATGCTCCTATTCCTCTTCCTTGCAACGAATATGCCCCCAGCAGAGCCATATTGCATAGGCATGGTGTGATGTGGAAGTGATTGAATAGATGAGCAAATGGCACCTGTGGTGAGAGGAGATAGTTAGTACCTGGCAAGTGGGAAGTAGACTTGCCATGTGGTGGGGGCCCGTTTGGACCACTCCTCCCCCCAGACACCAGCACAATCTCCTAGCTTTGCTAGAGTGCCTCTTCTTTCATTCAAGTCCTCTTTCAAAACCCCGAGTAGACGTTTTATCATTTTCTACTACAAAGTCCTAATCATATGTTTTCGGATCCCTTGGTATTTTATTTGTTTTGTTGTTGTTCATATTGCCAAGTCGCATGTCATCATTTCCCCATTTTATTTTCTACATGATCATCGCTGCTGTGGATGAAAGCTATTTATATTTTAATATTAACATTTCATACCTCCATTTCCAGGAATTTATTTTTACATTTTTCCTTAGGTGGCTCCCAAGAATATATTCATATCATCTATAATTAATGACAAATAATGACTGTTTTTACCAATATGACAGACTTTTTTCTCTTTACAATCTCATTACACTAGAAAGAATTTCTAAAACAAAATCTAATAATATTGGTGATAACAGGCATATTTGTGTTGCTCCTGATTGTCGTGGATTTTGTCCTAGTTGTTTAACATCCTTTGTGTTTGTGAGTATGCGTATCCTGAGGAATACAGCCTGAGAAATGTATTTTCTTTGTTTTTAGTCATGGGTGCTGAATTCCTTGAAATGCTCTTTGGTCATCCATACACATTTTTAAAATATGGTCAAGACATTCTATAATGAAGACACCTGCACTGGAATGTTTATGGCAGCACAATTCACAATTGCAACGATATGGAAACAACCCAAGTGCCCATCAATACATGAGTGCATTAATAAAATGTAGTATATGTATACCATGGAATACTACTCAATTACAAAAAACAATGGTGATCTAGCACCTCTTATATTATCCTTGATAGAGCTGGAGCTCATCCTTTGAAGTGAGGTATCACAAGAATGGAAAAAGAAGCCTCACATGTATTGTCCATGGCATTGGTACTAAGTGATTGACACTAAGTTGCTCACATGGATATTATATTCATTGCTTGCCGCTCATGTGGGAGGGGGTGGTGGGGGTGGGTAAGCTCACAATTAATGGGTAAGGAGCACACTGTATGGGGGAAGGGCACGCTTGTAGCTCTGGCTTGGGTGAGGCAAAGGCATTATATGTAACCAAAGTGTTTGTACCCCCATAATATTCTGAAATTTAAAATAAAAAACATATGGTCAGAAGCAGTAGTATTTCTACTGAAGTCATTTTCTTTATGTCTCCATTTTATCATTTTGTTCATATATGATCCACACCATTTCATCCTATTATGGTCTAGATAGTGCAGATGTTTCTTGCCCTTGGGAATAGGATCATTTTTATTAGTGATTCCGGATGTAAATGGAGTCGAGCAGATTCTGGGAAAATGAACGAAATTACCTGAAAATTGGACTGTATATTTCACAACTATTTTCCTTTTACATTTCAGAGTCCATATTCCCATGATGAAGGGATTATTTCATCGAAAAAGTAGGTTTGTGCGATGCCCCTTGGCTGATGGCAACAGAGCGTAAGTAAGAGACAAAGATGCTTAAGTTTCAATAGGACAAAAGTCAGGGGATATCAGAGGTCTTCTCTCTCAGGCTACTATCAGATGACAGGAAGACTAGGAGAAGTGAAAAGGAGAGGAAAGGCTGAATGAAGGTGGTTAAATTTTTGGCTGTGGGGTGTCATTTCTTGGAGAAGAGGAGGATGACCAGACAGGTGAGGGAGCACCTAGTGGCCTTGCTGGAGTCCCAAGCCAGGACACTTTTAAAAATCAAAATGTAAACTATGAAGGGATATTTCCATGCGCACATTTTCCCAACCCCCAAGCGGTGCTTACAGATGAGAAAACAGAGAAGGGTGGAGTGTGTGGAGGGTGGGGAGTCTTGGGATTTAATACTGGACGAGTTGGGGTGGTTTTCCAGTTGTTAGGTGTACACGAATCAAAGGGCAAATGGCTGAAACAAGTAGGTGAGGAGTTTACGGATGAGGAAGCTGAGGAAGAGAGGTTAGGTAAGATACAAATAGGGGTTTCAGAAAAGCTTTAAGTTACAGGCTGTGTCAGGATGCTAGGCAAAGGGGAGAACCTGCTGAAGAAATAAAACTGCACGATGTGACTCAGCAAAGATGAGGTCCTATTTTGTCAAGAATCCCTTGGTCATTTTGACACCACGGGGGCCTTCGTATGAATAAGCCAGAAGTGTTTCATTATGGAGGATGATGATGACGATGCCCTTGACCCTGCGGTGTGTGAAAGGATTGCGTGTGTGCTTCGTGCGAGGCGGTGGGCAAGCTGAGGAGAAACGTCCGGCCGCGCCACAGCCCGGTTAGGCGGAAAGGCACACGTGGAGACTCCTGGCCAGAGTCCCAGTGCGGCGAATTTCACTCAGGGAAGGAGGTTCCCGAAGCTGGAGAGGTGCGGGGCGCCTGCGCAGCCGGCCGGCGGCGTCGTGCGCTGCGGGAGCCCGGGACCCCCGTCCCCGCCCCTCGCCCTCCACTGTGAACGCGCACGTGAACGGGACCGCGAACGCGCACGTGGATGCCCCTCACCTCGCTCAACCCCTGCCCGGCGGCTGAGGGAGGGAGAGAGACGCGCCCCCGACACGCGGGTGGGCCCGGTGGAGAGTCGCGGGCTCGCGGCGGCGGCGTCTCCTCACAGGCGGCGGGCTCGGGACCCTCTGCGCGAGGCCGGCGACCGCCCCAAGGGCTGGCTGACTGACGCTCCTCGCTGCCCCCGCCCCCGCCCCCGCCTCCGCCCCCGCCCCCGCCTCATCTCTGCCTAAGCTGCCGGGCTCGCAGGCTGAGGCGCCACTCTCTCCCTGCCCTTCGCGTCGGCCCTTTCTCTCCCCAGCACCTCGGCTGCTCAGCGGCGGCGGCGGCGGCGGCAGTCAGCGGCGTGAGGAGGCGGCCCCGAGGATGAAGTGTAAGCCGAACCAGACGCGAACCTACGACCCGGAGGGGTTCAAGAAGCGGGCGGCGTGCCTGTGCTTCCGGAGCGAGCTCGAGGACGAGGTGCTGTTAGTGAGTAGCAGCCGGTACCCGGACCGCTGGATCGTGCCGGGCGGGGGCATGGAGCCCGAGGAGGAGCCGAGCGGTGCGGCGGTCCGAGAGGTGTACGAAGAGGCGGGAGTCAAGGGGAAGTTAGGCCGGCTCCTGGGCGTGTTCGAGCAGAACCAAGATCGCAAGCACAGAACGTACGTGTATGTCCTGACCGTCACTGAGCTGCTGGAGGATTGGGAAGATTCGGTTACCATTGGGAGGAAGCGAGAGTGGTTCAAAATCGAAGATGCCATCAAGGTTCTCCAGTGCCACAAGCCCGTGCATGCCGAATATCTGGAAAAACTAAAGCTGGGCGGTTCCCCGACCAATGGAAACTCCGTGGCCCCGACCCTGCCAGATAGCGATCCCTAGTATGTACCGCTCGCGCACAGACTTCTGATTGTCCGCTTCCCTTAAAACCAGCTCTGCCTAGAGCACCTCTCTTGCCTTGTGCGGTCTCACGGGGAGGAGGGAGGCTTCTTTTGTTTCCTTGGCAGACCTCTGAATCACGCTTGCAAACTGTCTCAGTTGCCAGGCACTGTTTTCAGACAATTTGCACGTTTTTCAGATGCTTTCAAAATCGCCTCTTGGGTACACTGTAAAATGTTTCGGTAAGCCGGAGCTGTTTGCGATTGTTTTTAAAGGTGCCTTAACTGCTAACCCTGCTTTTTTGGGGGATGGGGTGGGGAGGGGGGCGTGTGCGTGAGCCTGTGGTGTTTTGTTTTTTTTTTACATTTCGCACATATTTGTGCGTGAGTGTGCGTGCGCATTTTTGAAACCAGTCTCGTGGTATCTTTTCTAGTGGAGGCCTTTAAAGTCCTTCCAGCTTGGTTGTGTGAACATCTTTTATTATTTTTCTCCCTTAAGTTGTTTTCTCATTTACAGCGTTCGCCCTTGTCAGGGAGCCCTTCTGTGATGGGAGTTGATTTAAAATCTCAGTTTTGAATTAAAAAAAAAAAAAAAAACTTGGAAATCATTTGCATCTTGTGCTCTTTCTGCACTTGACAGTAATGTTAGCTTCAGAAATGTGATCTGATAGGCCCTTTTCAGAAATGTCTTTGTTTATTTATTTGTAGATCATTTGGTTTTCAAAAAATTTTCACAATTAGTAAGTTTTCACTGCTGACTTGAAATGGTCATTTTTCATACAGTTTAGCAAGGTACTGCCTTATAGAGGAAATATTTCTGGGGCATTGCCAGCCAAGCATATCTTGATATACATGTCTTATCTCGGAAACTGTATTCATGGGATGTGATTTAGCATGCTGGACTTCCAGCTGCCATTGCCCCTTATTGGTCACCCTAGAAGAACCATGGTTCTCTCAATTTAAATTCGTTTTTGACAGAAAGTTATAATATCTCCCATATTTGAATTTAGTGACATTCCTGTTAAACTTCCCTGACTCCCAGTCACCACAGGAATGGAATCTTTTGTTGTGATTATATCCCAATTGAGTGAGTTAGCTGTGTTGACATTCAGGTGTTACAGATGCCTCAAACCGTTAGGACATCTGAACAGTCTCTGTTAAAGATTGAGAGTAATCGTTTAGTCTCATATGACAACCCTTTTGTGGATGCCAAATTAGAGTCTCTTACGGTTGCCTCAATGCTTGCTTGAAATCAGGAATTCCATCTAATAATACAACTCTGTCTCTCTTCTGAACTTCCTCTGTTCCCCCAGCCATGTCTAAAATTAGGTAGAAGGGAAGCCTACTTTGTGAAGAGGGTATTGGGGGTGGGAAGGCCATTCTATATATAATGCTTAAGCATTTTTAAAACATTCTATGAATAAATAATGAGTAAAAAGTGGAGAGTAATGATTACTTAAAACAATTTGTTACTACTCAGTGACCTTTTTAAACACAATTACTGCTAAAAGTTTAATGGAGTCACCCTTTTTAAAATCATTGAATGTTTCACTGATGTACGATATACATACAGAACAATACATAACTCTTAAATGTATATCTTAATGAATGTTTACTTAGTGAACACACATAGGTAACCATCATCTAGATCAAAAAATTAACATTACTTTGTAATCCATAAGCGCACTGCATTTTCTCCTAATCATTACTCTGTTCTCTTGTCTTTTGTACTATAGAATAGTTCTGTTTTTGAACTATACAGATATTTTTTTTGCTGCTGCCTTGTGTGCTTTGTGTATTTTACTCTTCAAAGCATTCAAATATCTTGTCTGCATTTTGGTTGCATTGTAATTTCACAAATTATTAATATTTTACATGCTGCTAAAAAGTGGGTGCCATTGCACTTTCTAAAGAATTTTTCACTGTTTTGAAAACATATCTCATTACACATTTAAGTACAGATAAAGTACAAGTTTTAGTTCACAAAATATTTTCTATACTAATGCTGTCAAAGGAAAGAGTGAATTAGAAAATGAGTGGGTTTTTAAAACCAATGACAGTTTAGTCTGAATTGTGTAGTCTGATCAAATATTGAGGTTTTTAAAATTTTTCTCTAACAAAGTGACATATATTGAATATATGTTTGAAGCACATTTAAAAATTCTAAGCAAATTGACTTTTACTATTCAGTTTGTCTCAAATAGACCCCAAGATTCCCCCCAATAACCTAGTTATTCTAGATGATTCTTAAAATATGAATATCGACACAGCAGATATACTGTCTTCAATTTAATGGATATTTTTGTAGATAAAATCCCTTCTATATGAAACGCTGTCAGAAACACTTTGGAGGCTTAACTTGTATTTGCTATTATTAGAGGCAATAATACATCATCTTATTTGATTCTATCTGAGAAAGTAAAAAATGTACAATAGTCATATTAACCCTCTCAAGAATTATTAGACTATAAATATGTTGTGGGTCCCCCCCTTTTCCTTTTTTTTTTGTTTGCCAGAAACATTTAGAATAGTAGTGCTGTTTTTCAGGATTCACTGTCAGGTTCATTTAAGTAGTTTTTGTAAGATATTCTCTGGGACCCAGAATAATTAAAAGCTCCCATTAGATTTTTTTTTTCTCTTTAAGACTAAGTCAAGAGTTTCAGGTTAAAACAGATGACCAGAGGTAGTATATAGAAAATTTTTGCCACCTCAGTGCTCCAAAAATTGATGTAAAGTTGAGATTTTTCCTTCTAAGAGTATTACAAGTCACTTATACATTATTTGCTTTGTGATTGCACTAAAAATGTACAGCTAAATTTTACAGCCCTCTCTCAAAAAAGGGGAAAAGAGTACTCTCCATAGACAATTGAGATTTGCCGACACAAATCAGAAATTTATTTTCTGCGTGTTTTATAAATAGCTTACATTTTCAGCTGGTCAAGTGTTTTATTCTTGTGAATATATAAAGAGGAAACAGAGGTTAATATAGATGCATATACTTGAAACATAATTGATGCTGTGTCTATAATATAAAATTTTTTCAAAAAATTGTGTGTTTGTATGTAAATGTAAAAATCTGTTGACCACACTCTAAAGAAGCAAACTAAAGGAAGGAAATTTGTGATAAAATAATTCAGTTGCTTTATCGCTTTGCATAGATTCATTTGAGACAGTTGATGTAAAGGTTTTTAATTTCTTTGCATATTTCCTTTGAGAAGGTTAGTATAAGGATACCAATTTGTTTACATTTAGAATATACGTATGTTTGACTGGGCAGAGGTTTCACCTCCAGGGTTCTCTTGTGGTGGGATCCACCAGGCACTACCAGAAAGAGTTTTATCAGTATTTTCTTGGTAATTCTCTTCTTGATAAGCTAGCTGATATACTGTATTTAGCGGATTTTAAATGTTTTTGGGCAAATGGCGCTATGAGAAGTGGAAGTCACTATGGTAACTGACATTTTTAGAAGATAGAGCTTGATATGATAGAAACTACATTGGGGGCTTGAAGTTAGTTAGACCTAATTCCAGTTCTTACTCACTCTAACTTCAGCCATGTTATTTGTCTGATGCTCAGTTTTTAAAAATCTGTAGTGGGAGATAATAAAAATAGATACTTCATAAGCATCTCTTATGAGAATCCTTTTCTGACCACCTGGATTAAGAACCCTCTTCTGTATCATGGCTTTCATAGTTTATTGTACTTATGGCCATGAGACTGCAAACTCTTTGGTGGGTTGGAACCAGCCTGAATTATTTCCATGAGCCTAGAGTCTAGAACGTGGAATTTAGGATTTTTTTTTTAATGTCTTAAAAGCTCACTTCCCTTTTGCAAAACTTCTGATATCACTGCTTTCCTGACTTTTTTGTGTCATAATATATGTTGGCCTGTAACTCCCTCAGCTGTTCATCCAGACTCACATTGCACCTCCATTAGATGATTCTGTGACGTGCTTGATGTGAAGTGATTGATGCATATAATGAGCCCTCAGTAAATTTGTCAGTTGGAGGATTTGTTACTATAAGCCTGCTAATTTTATGTTGATTTGTTTTTCCAGATGAACAGCAAAGATGTTCGGGATTGCTCTAAAAGAATCATTGGTGTGAACCTAGTGATCAATGGAATTGTCAAGTACAGGTGAGCACTTGTGTGTTCCCAAGAAGACAGCTCATCTGATTTTCCTCCTGCGTCTTGGGACACTCCTTCCCTGTCTGTTCCACTGGCTCCTCTTGCTCTGGTTGTTGTACTATTGTACGTGAACAGACTCTTAATTCAGCACCTATAGCCTTTTGTTGTGCTTTTTTGATGTGTCTGCCTTCATTGGACTATGCTATCTTTGAAAACAAAGACTATTTTTCCTTACTCTTTGCATATCCTGCGTTTTAGACACTACTTGAAATATGGTTGGCGTCACTGAAGGTTCTTTGATTCAGTTAATATTTTGTAATCACCGTGTGGCAAAACATTCCCCTTCTAATCTGGTGCTAGTAGAGTATATGCTGTCTTGGCACCATGTGTGTGGCTTTTGTGTATCAGGTGTTTCAGAAACATTTCAAGGCAGTTGTAAGATGTTTCAGGACAAGAATTATTACTCATATTTCTATGTCATACCACACAGTGGCTAGCACAGTTTTAAGATTATGCCATCACTTAGGGCAATGTTTTGTAGAATCAGTCCTTCGTATAACAACTTCAGTGTTTTTGTACTGTTGATAATTTGCTTAAAATTTTAGTGAAAAAATATTGCTTGCTATGAAGGTAATTGTAAAAATAAATACAACAAACTCAAAATTGTGAGTTTTTATAAAAATTTTGAAATGATATATAAATAATAAATTGCTTTTGCAATGCCCTAACCACTTCTTACATGTCATCTTAACATCTCTTTGAGGAAAACACTGCTTTTCTCATTTTAGATTCAATATTCTGTATTATTTGATGCCAGAGCCAACAAAGACTGCACTATAGGCAATTTCCAAAGTTAATTATGCCATTTAATTTTCCTGCGTTTCTTTTGCCTCTGTTACGGATTTAGTTGGCCACAGTTTTCATCCCTTTTCCAGCACGCTCATGTAGCTCCTCGTCCCACCTGGTTTCTGCATGTGAGAATGCAGAGGACTGAGAGAGAACTAAATTGTTGTCACTTAGAAAAGGCATTTGGGAAAGAGGCTGCTGTAAGAGGAGAACACAAAATGAAGGATTTAAAAAGAGAGGACCTGGGTCACCCGCCTCCATGAGAACAACTATAAGGAAAGGACGAAGTTGTTTAGAGGAAATTTTATGGAGTTTTGCCATGGGGTGTATGATGTTAGCACTCTTCCCCAGTTCCTAACAAAGCTCCCAAAATGGCTTTAATATGGTACTTTGTTTTATTTTTCTTTTGCATTATAAAGCAATTATAACAAAAACGGCTTGGACTCCATTCTCATGTTAAACCCTTCTTCATGGTATCAGTGAAATGTATTGATTGTGCTCCTAAATCTTACATAATTTGAAATAAAAACACATCTTCCCAATTTATTGTATTTTAGGAGTGATATGGTACTTTGGTTATGTTTTTAAAAAATTTCTTATCTTTTAGAGAAATGTACTAAAAAATTTACAGATGAGATGATATGCTACTGGTATTTGCTTCAAAATAACCTGAGGTGGGGTATGTGAGTGCATAGATGAAACAAGACTGGCTATTAATCGATCATTGTTGAAGCTGTGTGATGGATGTTTGAGAATTCATTATACTCTTCTCTATACTTTTCTATATGTTTGAAATTTTCCATAATAAAAATTGAAAAAAGTGTTCTTCAGAGTTTACTTGTAGGCTCCTTTTCTGTCTAGATTTAACTATAGAAAGCTGGTCAAAAGAAAAATCCACAACCCAGAAAGGCTCATTCCTCCTCTCCAAAAACCTAGCTTTTGTTCCTGAGCCAAATTTATTGGCAGACTGCTCTTCTCTTAGTGTGAATTTCTTCTTGGAAACCCCCCAGTTCCACATGCAAAAAGACTTCATATGTGTCATACATGACCAGAAAACTTTAAACCCTAGTGTTGAATATAAGTTTAGGTTCCAGATAGGACAACGCTCCTCTACAATTTATCTTTTTTTTAAAAAAGACACCAAATATTTTTTCTGATTACAAAATTAATACATTTTAATTTCAGAAAATTTTGAAAATTCCAAAAAAATGAATTAAAAAAATCACACATCCCTCTAGTCAGAGATAACCAAGTTTGAAATATATATAATTTCCAGTCTTTTTTCTTTGCAAATATAAACATGTTACTCAAACAGTGGTGGCACAGGTGAGCCCCATCCAGGCACCTTACTGTTCCTTAGAATTTTTTAGGCTAATGCTCAGGGCGATTATGGAGTTTGTGCTGCCTCTGCCTTGCGCAAGTGCAGAAAGCATAGTAGAAAACCTGGGTCTGAAATCTAGACCAGCTCTACTCACCGAGTCCTGGTGTGGGGTGGTATAGGCCTGTTTTGTTTTGTTTTTGTTTTTGTTTCCTAATTCCCACACAACTTTTTACTCACCAAACACTGAGGCTGGGGGTGAGGCATCAGTTCTGAGGGGGTGCTCTTCTTAAAATCACACAATTGCAATGTATTGGCTAAAAGTAGGCCTGCTGCAAAAAAAAATCGGTGCCTTTTTTAAAAAATAAATTGTAGAATGAGGAGTGTTGTCCTATCTGGAACCTGTTTTCTAGAAAGCTCCCTATATCTTCTCTGGCTCCTCAGCAAGCTACCATTGTATTGTTTTTCTGCAGCCTCTGACCCTCATGAGGTTGCTGCTTCTCTGGGCACAGTGGTTTCCAGTGGGTAAAAGGTTGCCACCACTCTGGACTCAAGGAAGGGAATTCTGCTCTCCCCCTTCTACTTTTTTACCCCATATGTGCCCTCACCCTTCCCTAATTTCCTACAGCACATCAGAGACCAGGCCATCATTTCTAATGAGATTTTACTGAAGATTACCAGGTTATGTGAGAGAAATGTAATACAAGGAACATAATTTACAACTGCTGCCCAGTGTGTACTGGAAGGATCGGACCCTTTCTAGGTTCTGTTGCTAGACTAGTTCCCTAATACAGGCTGACTCCAAATGGCCTAGAGAAATCCCTCCATCAGCACCAGCCCCTATCACTATCAAAAACTGAGAGCGTGCAGTTTCAAATTATGGACACCATGATTCCCATACTCATGGAGAGGGGAAAGCTGCTCCATCAACTGAATCTCCAAGTAGCACTTGAGGTATCTCAAATTTATATTCCCAGAATCAAGGATACAAACCTGAAATCAATGAAATGAATCAAAGGGCTAGAGAGTGGTGGGTTGGAGATGGAAATTCAGTTTTATCTTATCCCAAAGTTAATGCTGTTTAGGTTAAGATGAAGAGAAGAACAAGACATTATAAGACTATCTTAGAGTGAATTCAGTGCTGCTCCTCTTTCCGGGATGGTAAACATGTGGAACCAAAAAGCCCATCCATGGTCCAAGAAGATCCATTAACACTGTGCCCTATGTAAACCTTCATAGCAATGCGAAGAAGCAGACCAGGACCTCTGGGAGTTTAGATTTCTTTGGGGCCAATGCTGAGGGGATAGAGGGCTAAGGGTAGAGTTTTGGTAACAATTCTCTCTTTTCCTTTTGTCTATTCACTCAAATTTAGACCTCATTTCTTGGGTGTTAGAAACATAGTAGACTGCAGTCATTCTTAGATGGTTCTAGTGGTGGTATCACACTCCCTAGTGGACATTTTACGAATTAGCTCAGTACTAATGTATTCTTTTTTTTTTTTTCAGCATATTATAGGGGTACAGATGTTTAGGTTACACATGTTGCCCTTGCCCCCCTTCCCCCCAAGTCCCAGTTTCAAGCGTGTCCATCTCTCGGATGGTGCTCATTGCACTCTTTGTGTATGCATATACCCGTCCCCTCCTCCCCCATTCCCCTTCCCCCTCCCCCCTGCCCAACATCCAATAGATGTTATTCTTATATGTACACTTATGTGTTGATCAGTTAATACCAATCTGATGGTGAGTACATGTGGTGCTTGTTTTTCCATTCTTGGGATACTTCACTTAGTAGGATGCGTTCCAGCTCTATCCAGGAGTATACAAGAGGTGCTATATCACCATTGTTTCTTAAAGCTGAATAGTACTCCATGGTATACATATACCACATTTTATTAATTCACTCATATATTTATCAAAAAGTCCCAAAACAATAAATGTTGGCGTGGATGCGGAGAGATAGGAACACTCATACACTGCTGGTGGGACTGCAAACTAGTGCAACCTCTGTGGAAAGCAATATGGAGATACCTTAAAGAGATACAATTAGAAGTACCATTCGATCCAGCAATCCCATTACTGGGCATCTACCCAAAAGAACAAATGATACTCTATAAGAAAGACACCTGCACCCGAACGTTTATAGCAGCACAATTCACAATTGCAAAGATAATGTATTCTTTTTTATTTTTGAAAAAATTATAACATTATTTTATATAAATTACTTTATTTGGTCTCCAAGTCAGATGGAGGTAGGTAAGGGAGATTCCATTAGTCCCAATTAAGATGAGAAAATTGAGGCTCAGCAAGGTTAAGTAAAGTGATTTAGTTCACACTTCCATTAAGGAACAGAGCTGAGATTAGATCCCAGGTATTCAGAATGCTGTTGCCAACACACACACACACACACACACACACACACACACGCACACACACACACACATATACACAGAGCTGCTCTTGTCACAAAAACAAAAAAATAGGGTAACTGAGATGACAGATATTTTAATTTGTTTCATTATAGTAGTCATTTTACTATATGTATCCCATAATACGTATATCTTACATATACATAATAAAATTATTTATTTTACAGAGCCTTTGTTTTATTACTATAAAATTTATTTAAAAAAATAAAAAAATATATTGATGTATTCTGTTTAGAGCAAGGAAATCTTTCCCAGGAACACCTGCTGTCCAAGACTATTTGCAATCAATTTTTTCGAATTCTGAATTAAATCTTAGTATAATTGATATGTGAAGAGCCTTTATCATGTTTCATATGATAATTCTTCTATCAATGAATGAAAATTCAGCAAAATTTTGAGTTTGTTAAGCTGTGTTTTTTCACCTAGCTTTAACCTGGTAGATAAATAGGAAAGTATTTGCATTTAGCTACTGCCTCCAACCTTATAACCGAGCTTTAGCTGTGATAAAGTTATTCAGAACTTTAGGCCAAGAATTGTGCTACCTCTAGGGATATATGGGTTAAGCAAATAAGACATGGCCTCTGTCTTCATGGAGATCTCAGTGTATTGAAGAGATATAATAAAACAAGAAATTCCAAGAAAATGTACTAAGCTTGTATTTTTCTTTTTTTTTGAGACAGAGTCTCGCTGTATCGCCTGGGCTAGAGTGCAATGGTGTCATCATAGCTCACTAGAACCTCAAACTCCTGGGCTCAAGCGATCCTCCTGCCTCAGCCTCCTGAGTAGCTGGGACTACAGGTGTGCACCACCACACTTGGCTAATTTTTTCTATTTTTAGTAGAGACAGGGTCTCGCTTTTGCTCAGGCTGGTCTCGAACTCCTGGCCTCAAGCAATCCTCCTGTCTCGGCCTCCCAAAGTGCTAGGATTACAGGTGCAAGCCACTGTGCCTGGCCATAAGTATTTTTTATGATAGTAGGGAGGGATTTCAATTGGCTCTACTAGTTCACAGTAGGGGGAACTAACCTAATTGGGGTCTGGGGAAGAGAAAAAGCTTCTTGGAGGAAATGCCATATAATTTGACACCTGTAGAATAAATAGGACTTAGCCAGGAGAAATAGCAAAACGGTGTTCCAGAAAGAGGGAAAAACAGGAAGTTAGATAAAGTGTGGTGCTTTCAGGAAGAGGAACTTGTTCGTTATGTCTAGGATGTATTCTAGGGGTATAAAGAAGAAGGGATTTTCTAGAGATGAAGCTGGAGTAAGAAAAAGCCAGATTGTAGAGGGTCTGATGTGATTTGTTCAGGGATTTGAAAAGAGGAGACATGACATACCAGTTTGAAGAGTGGAAAATTGAAAAGGAGCTAAGAGGAGGCTGTGGTAATAGTCCAGGTGAGAAATGATGGTGACCTGAACTAGGGTGTTGACCATGTTGATAGAAGCGGACACATTTAAGAAATATGTAGTGTATAAAGGAGCGTGAGTTGATTAATTGGGTGTTAGAGATAAGAAAGAGGTAGATATTATGGATATATTTTTTCTTTTTTTTTTTTTTTTTTTTTTAGGCTGGTCAAGTGAAGCAGTGGGAGTGGAGAAGGAACAAAGGAATCTGTAACTGGTTGTGATCAATTAGTTGTAAACACCACTGCACTTGGACCAACCCAAATATCATGGATATATTTAAAGATATTTGGCTGGAGGAACAGAATTGATGGTGCCATTCTCTTAGATGGACTCTAATAAAAGAAAAACATTAGTTATGTAGGCCTGAGAAGAAAGTGAGGTTAGTTTTATAAATGTTAGTTTTTTTACCCAATGGGCATTAACTTGGAGATGATGTCCAAAAGGCCAGAGATACACAAACATGCAGCCTAGGAAAGAATGAGCTGGAGATGTAGATTTTGGAATCATCAGTGGATGGGCAGTAGGTAAAGAGGCAGATACACGCGAGGTCATTCAGGAGAGAGTGTAGTGAAGATCTGAGTAGTATCAACATTTAAGGACTTCCAGATGGTTCTATGAGGATCTTGGTGGACCCACTCCCCAGAGAAACAACATTATTTGATGATAACTATATGTGCA